TCTGTTACCAGCAGAAAATGATACACTTGTTATATGACAGTGGACAGAGTTTTAGTGGATTGTAAGTTATCCCGGCTTGTTTAGTTAAGTACTAGTCCAGAAATACATTCTGTTTTTCAACCTGGTGTAAACAGAAATTGTAGACTTGAGTGGAAATTAATTATAGATGACAGACACAGTAAAGGAGACATCAACTGCAAAAAATACCCATTAGATGAATGTAAATGTAAAATGTGTGCTGCATTGTGTTTCTTTCTTCTATTTGTAAAAATGATCAAATGTAAATAAAAAGTAATGCAGTGCCACACTAGGACTGCGACATCTTATAGATGCTGTCTAGAGTTTAAAACAGAGCAAAGCTTTGGTTTGCATGTTAACTGTTTTTTTTTTCTTTCTGACATTAGGAAGATGCGACCTTTATTTATTCTGTGATTTATTTCTATTTAATTGAGTTATTTCTGGAAATTACGTAATTTTGGTTCTATAGTGAAGCACTCTACTTTTCAGAATATTATTGTCAACGCAATCCTAAACCTTCATACAATTGGAAATCAGAGACATCATCTCTGAAATGTCGTTCACTTTGCACTGACCTGATGTGTCTATACGGATGCAGACTTTGCCCTCTGGTGCGCTTGTGTCCGGACACCTCGACCATCCAGAGCAGCACGCTGAACAGAACCACATCCGTATGCATGACGTCCACAGCCACAGCCTTCTGCTCCAGAACGCTCAGATGTGCAGCCTACTCCAGAGTCTGTCAGTGCACAGGCCGGACGCTCCGAGCATGACTCGCACCGAGGACATAGTAAGAATGCATACATAAACGTCAAAGTCTTTAATCTCTTTGACGATAGGGATGCAGTTAGCCTGCAAATCTGCACGAGTCAAATGGCACGGATTTACTCTGAGCGCCGAGTCAATAAAACCGCGGAGCACGTTGATCCTAATGGTGAGAGAGGTGGAAAGCTTTGGACAGAGTTACAGTCACTTGATGTCATTTCAGAATCACCACTTCTACACCAACTAAAGATGCATTGTTTTCACAGTGGGTGGGAGCCGGAGGTCCCGTGGAAACCCCACGCCTGCAGCAGGAGAGCGCAGGACGCGGCTGACCGCTGCGCCTCCACGCCCCTCCTCGTTGATCTTTCCTCAGATTCAGTTTGTCTTACACCAGGACTCGGACCTTATGATCCATGATCAAAAACACATTAGGGCATTGCTTTGCCCCAGTTTGTTTCAATTACCAATAAGTGGTGTATAGAATATTATGCAACAGTTTGATAATCCTGTTGGCTACAGTACGAACAGTGGATGAGTAATTCCACAGGGTTTTTCATCCCATCAGCATATTTCTCTGGTCTACCTTCTTGCGCTGGAACAATAAATAAATAGACCTACAGTTTATTTTATCACGTTCACTGTTTCATTGTATATTGTAAGTTGCAAATTAAGTAAAAATGCAGATATACACCAGACATATAATAATAATAATAATAATAATAATAATAATAATAATTAATTAATAATTAATAATAATATATTTTTATTTCCTTTATTTAACCAGGTAAACCCCGTTGAGATCCAGATCTCATTTTC